TGATCAATCTCTTAAGAAAGTGAAAAAGACCGACGAGAATAATAGTGGACTTTACACATAAATAAATAAATTAATAAATAAAGCCTTTATTGTTGTTAACAAGTTTTACACAGAGTAGTTTAGTGTGCCTAAAATTAATTTACTTATGACTACCTACTATCTAAAAAACACATTTTGACTATTAACTAGAGTTTAACTAATATTCTAACAATTTTACTATCTATTGATTAATTATCGGCAAACGGTAGTTCGGTTACAACTTGTCTTCCGACAAAGGCCTCCTCTAAAGCTCTCCAGTCTTTTCTCATTTTTGCAGTGCGAGTCCATGTTGAACCCGCTATTTTCTTAACGGACTTTACACATACCTACACTTAATTTTTATCTTTAATAATTTAAATGACTTGATCAGCTTTAAATAAATTTAGGCTTTTTATACTTTGTGAATAAAATAATTACGATGTTAGTCATACAAGTGTATTAGTTTGCAAATTATATTTCACTACGTGTTTTTTGTTTGAATTAAAACTAATCAATGTCACCAGCGTACTTCCTATTTGGTTACGTATGAGTAATTTGAACTCAATTATTTGATGTTTACTAACAATTTGTTTTGGAAGTATTAACTAGTTAGACTATATATAATGATAAAGATACTATGTTACAATTAAACTGTTCTTTAAGATTTAGATGATTTCTCGAATTTTGAATTGATATTTACGTATGTCTTATAGATAACACAATTTTAAAGATATCAAAATCGGAAAAAGTTTATTTGAAGATTTAAATATACTCGCACAAATCCATTACTAAAGTTTATTTCTTGTTGTTTGCAACAAAAGTATTATGTAAATACAATTTTTCCTTCTATTTAAAATAAATTGGCATTATCTTAAATTGTTGAGGATGTTATTTCGGATCAGTTAGTCAATAAATTGGTCGTTCACACACAAATTGCAAAACTATAAAGATAAAAGTTTATCACTGTTTTAGTGGAGTAGGCTATCAAAGTACAAATCACCTCTTAATTAAAACAATTAACTTACTTTGACATTAACTGTCCATTATTTTCTCAGAAAATATATCAAGCAACATTTTGCATCACGAAAAATAATGTTAACAAACAAAGTAATATACAATTTCAAGTTATTTTTTAACAAATTAAATTACTGAACAAAAAATTTAAATAGGATATATAGAGATAGAAAGAATTAAATAATCTCACTATATTTGCTTTGTAAATTAATATTTTATATAATAATAATATATATTTTTACCTGTCATCTTCGCATAGAACACCATACCGCGCCAAAATTAAAAAGAACAAAAACCTCATATTAGCAATCACGAACTTCTGTCTTTTGCACCATAGTCTTAAGTCTATGTCTATGTCAACTTCACTAATCAAAGGAAACTAATTTTCAATTGTGCTAAAATTTATGCAATTCATTCACTTTTATTCATAATGAATACTTAATTGAAAATGTTATTTTTTATTCAAAAAAATTAGCTCTCAAATTGGCGCGTAATATTTCCCGCCAATTCGTAAGTCAGAAAATACGTTGAGTTCCCGCGGTCGCTCGAGACTCTTTACATGACAGTACCATATTAAATACCACTTCATTCAGGTTTTAGGACTGTCTACCACCAATTTAGTAATATCTTTAAACGTTTGATTGACTGCATATCTTTTCGTTCCAGCAAAACGATCAAGTATTTTTATTTAAATATGGCAGAATATAATATTTTCTCTTCAGTTGTCAGTAGCAAGTAATACAAGTTTTTTTTATAATTCTTTACGATTTTCAAAGTCTTTTCCAATAATACTGCGTGTGCTACTACTAAGTAACTAACCACTAAGTCAGTGAGGCGTTGGTATTGTTATTCCATATTATATTATATCGTATAACGTTTTATCGTTTACAAAAACACTTTCAACAAAAATATTGTCAGTTTATATTTTGGTTGGTAATAGCATCGCTTAGACTGGACACACAACTTTGTCCCTGAGAACTTACGGAAAATAATATATTGTTTACTAGAACACAACGTGATATGAATTATTGCATATTTAACTATTAATTAAACCGATATCTTTCTCCGTAGCATTGTACTCGGATGGAATATGTTAAGTGATCGTTCCAAGTTATATATAGAACATCCAAAATGTGTTTTAAGCAATATTAACTTATCTAAGGGTGAAAAAAAAAGAAAAATGCATTGGATTTTTTGATTCCGGTAGTAAGAATAAGTTCTCAATCGTATCCTTTTAGTTTCATTTGCTTCAACGACTTCGTTTCAACAAGGCATTTAACGTATAGATTAAGTTTACGGTAAACATTTGCATAGTTCGATAAAACATAAAAAAACCCATAAAGACTATCCTTAGTGAAACAGCTTAAAATATCAGTAAGAGGACAAAAAGACTAGAACAGTCTTAATAAATTCACTTAAGTTAACTCATTCGTCTCTTACTGGAAAGTAGAGTGAAGATTTGAACAAAAGCATGATTTTAAAAATACTAGTGTATATCTCAATATCCGTTTTCATTTTGTGTTGAATATATTCTTAGCTTCAATTTAATAATTTTTTTTTTTTTTGGTTTTCTAATGTATAATTATAATTTTTTTTATTTAAGTAATAATAAAAATAAGATATATACGTATTGTTTAGAAAATACAATTATATTGTCATGAAATAGTTATATGTATTATTATTGTAACAACAATTAAGCATGCACGGATGTCAAAGATAATATTTATGTAAGTTATATTGAAATTGTATATTTCATTTACACCATACTATTAGCCTAGGGGTTATGTCTACTATCAAGACTTCGTGCTATGCACAAATTAACATTTCTTTCCCGTAAACACTTGCACGTACCTTGAAGCAAAAACATCGCGAGGCAGCGTCTCTTTGATACAAAGAAAACATCAATGAACAACAAATGGGTCTGCTATTTCGTTTTTTATTTCATAAATACAATGTATTAGTATGGGGCTTTCAATCAACATTTAATTTTATGAATAAATTTAGTTTTTGTAGCCCTGTTAAAAATCTTTTGAATCTCAATTACTTTTAATTTAGAACACATTAATTCAACTCCTACACTAAGCGTGATTGGTATAATTTGATTAAGGGCAATTTCAATGAAATCTTCCGTTCGTTAATTGTTTTGTTTGTCTAAGGAAAGGCATTCTTTGACCCAGTTGCCACCTTATGAGGCTATTACTTATGCCTATTTTGCAGAAAGTTGCAGCATTCCATATTTTTTATCTGTCAACAGCCTAAATTATTCACGGCTGGGGCCCGTGTTCAAGTTATTTCGAATTATACAAATATGTCGGCTTATACTACGCAAGAATGCATTTTCTTCTGTAATGTATTCGTTTTCCAATTTTGATAAATTCCAGTAGATGCAAAAGAATTGATAAAATCTGAAGAGTAACATTATAAAAACTCCTAAAAAATTATCACTAAGATATAAACAAAATAAGCGTTTCGAGGGTCATCGTGTCTTCATTTTCAGTTGTTGACTAAAAAAAGGTTATACAAAGCTTTTAATCAAATTTATTGACACCATTGAATATGTCTTCCCCCCATAAATATTAATTTGAAATAAATAATTTGTTTGTTCAGGAACTTCAAACGTCGCTGCATGATGACCAGAGAGCGGAGCGAACACACAGGAGCGACTTAACAATTCCATCTGTCATCTGCTTCTCTTATCAACGCCAGGTTTTACTAGTTACCATAAAACTGGATAAGAAGTTAGCAATTCCGAAGTAATTAACTCGTGACTAATTATCTCATCAATACCCAATTACGTGCTGACAACTATTTTCAGAACAAACAACTACATCAATAATACGGAAAACTTGACGACGCATCCGTGACTCATTTAATAAATATATGTGATAGTAATGAAAATTCAATATCTAGCGGCCTTGTCAGGGATAATCTAGCATTCTAATCGTGAAAAAAAAATTAAATTGGTCCAATCGTTTTCCGTTTATTCTTTTCTCATTAGTATTAAAGCTTTATTAATTAGTACATACAACAGTTGTTTAGTTTACATTTCTTAAAATTAGTATTAGTTGTGATAGTATCATTTGTATTTGTATGACCCTTGGTGGATAAAAGCCTCCTCCATATTTTTTTTTTGAGCAACATTCATTCAGTTTTCTCCCTGTTAGTTCTATTACGTCATCTGTCCATTTTTTCATTAGTTGTCCTATTAATCTCTTTCCCGTAGGTCCAGTCCATTCTGTTGTGACCATACCTCAACCCGTTGGTTCGTTACAAACATACAAAAACACTAATCATAAAAAGTTTGAAGTTAAATTTCAATATAAACCAATATTAGCACTGTTTATATTTAGACGTTGGGGCATATCTTTGACTTTTACCATACTGATATCGTGGATGTGTAATTAAGATTATTTTCATTCTATTTATGGCTCATGTTGATCTTTACCTTTAACTAATATAAACTCCGAAATTTCTTTTACGCTAATTATAAAAAAAATCGTTGACAATATTAATTAATATTGTGTGGTGTAAATTTTAACATAAATTGTTACTCTAAAACTAGTTTTTGAGAGTTGGGATTACGATAATGCAATTCATTTATGTCGGGAAACATTTGCAAATAAACAACTATATTGCATATTTGAAGAAAATAAATCTTATGTAAATATTAAAGTGTTGTAAGGCACCTTTTCAGTCATTAAATATAATCTTATTTGATGTTACAAAACCTTATCATTTCATGTCATTTCGACATTTTACAACGAGCCAATTTTGAAACCGGTGGGTTTTGAATCACAAATGATTTTATTTTCATAAAGAAAATTATTTTAATCTATTAAACGAATTAAATAATACAAATATGTTCTAAGACCTATAAAAATATCACTGAAAACTGTCACTTTATGTTATGCATGTATTAAAATAATTATAATAGCCTAGGTTAAGATGTCACTGTGGCTTTTGGATGTTTATTCTTCTCCCGTTAGTCTATCTGTGATAAATCTTCTATAATTCCATCCATAACTCCTTTGAGTTCCAGTCCGACTCATAGTTGGAGAAAGAGAATCGTCCTTAGAGAGCAACGACCCTTCACATGGAGACAATGATTCCGGAAGATCAGTTTTCATGTCAATTTCCAAGCCTTTTAATGTGCTGGCGCTGCAGAGTGGTGTTTCCACTTGCTCTACCGTATTAAGATTATCTGTGTCTATTATGTAGGCCTCTTCTTTCTTGCAATACCTGTAAATATTCAGCTTATATCATATTGTATTCAACTAGAAAACTGCCAAAAAATAGATATATATAAGTGCACCAAATACCTGTTGAATATTTTGTTATTATAAGACTCGTTACACTTTGGAAATAAATAAACGTAACAAAATATCGGTTAGATGATTGAGGCTTATAGTAATAGGACTTTACAACTATCCTAGCATGAAGGTTACTAAGTTCTAGAGTAGTATCAGTAAAGTTTTTATTATTCATAAGCTATGTTTTATATTTACACTCGTAAATATATATAATTTCATAATCATACAAGCAAGAAGAGAATAGAATTTGCTTTAATTTTTTAACAGGAGCATTCTTTTTAGAAAGTGTTCACTGTTTGGCAAAACTTAGGCGGTAGTTATATTAAATAACTATTACCTTTGAGCATGTTAATATTAATAACAAGCGATCGTCACTTACTTTAAAACGTTTTTGAACCTATATCCCCAAATGATTTCCTTGGATAAATATGAAGTTCTGCTTTGTGTACAAGTGCCCATACTCTTGGATGAGCCGTTTAGACATGCCACTATTTCGAACCTGTGAAGGAAATCTTAGATAGAAAAAAGCTGTATTTTTTACCAAAAAGCATATTGATTTACTTAATAATTATTTATTTGGGTTGTTTTGTACAAAACTAAATAGGACATACGAATATTTTACTATCAACGCAGAACCCTAAATCAGGAGAGCTTAGTCAAGTATAGCGTATATTCCCTAATCTAATCTCCATACTGTCATTCAAACTACCTATAATCCATCATATCTTGAGCTGACAGGTCATACAGCGGACTCTCGGAGTCAATTATGTGTACAACTGTGATGGGCCATAGAAGGAAGGAGTTGCTTTCTTTCAGCTTCAGTTGGTGGATGTAGTTGGAGACATACTCTCCCTCCAATGTTCTGAAAAGAAAATGCTATGTAAAATGCTAATAAATTAAAATTAGAATTGGATTTAGCGCACCAAAGAATTGGAAACCTATCACTTGAAAATTCCATGAAAAATATTGAAATTTCAAAACAAAAAGAAACCATAAATAATCTTAAAAAGAAATATTCTACACCTTACAATATTACTACTCCCAACACATTGTCAGGAAGCACAAAACAGAGGAAAAAACAAGGTAGGAAAATAAAGAAGAAACAAAAATTAAATGCAAGTTGTGGCAACTTGGAATTATTAGAAACCTCGATGGAGGTTCTTAACGCTGATTCTAGGAGCAATTTTATAAAACCTAAAGAATGTTTACCGTCCTCGAGAGATGGCGCTAGCTATCTAATAGCTGACCAACTGCCTAACACAAAATTCAAGATACATATAATAGGCAGTCAACAATGCCGAGGACTTGCCTCGGAGCTTATACGATCGAGATACACAATACGGACGCTTTGAAATTAACTCCATCATTAAACCCAATGCAAAAACGTGTGATCTCTTAAGTACAGTTGACGGTTTGGAGGACTGTGTGGGAAATTACCTGGTACTATGCCTAGGTGAAAATGATACCAATCCATACCAAATATTTATAGAACTATGCGCTTTACTAAAAATTATCAAAAACAGCAAAATAATTTTATTAAATGTCTGTACTAATAGATTTCTTAATGAAAAATTACTTAATAATATGTTGAAAATGATATGTAATAGTTCTAAAAATTGTTGTATTTAGATATTGAACGTGGTACTTATAAAAGGCAATATCTTACAAGTATATGTAAAAAGTTAAACTATATATTTGACTATGATTACTATACCAAAAAATTTTTGACTTTCAAGAAAAAAAATTTAAAAAAACTATGTAATCGTGGCGACATTCCTAGAAAGGGTACCATACCGTACTATTTTCCCGTGATAAGACCTAGCCAGAACTCACATGTAAACAATAGAGATTTTTTAATGAAGACTCAAGTTCCTCACGAATTACCTAATAAGCAGCTCTTACTTATTACACCAAAATATAGCAGGACTTCTTAGCAAACTAGATTCTATTGAACTAAATCTTAGCGAAATCAGGTACACTAAAAATACTACTCCTAAAATTTTATGTTTTTCTGAAACTTTTGTAAGAAGAGGCGATGAAAGTAACAAGAATCTGAAGAATTTTAAGTTAGCCTCATCGTTTAGTCGGCTAAATAAAAAGCGTGGCGGGGTATGTATTTTCATAGATAAATCTCTCGATATCTCGCCGCTTAGCTTTTGCAACGACATATCAATAGAAACAACATTTGAATGTTGTGGCACAATAGTACCCGCAATTCAATGCATAATAATTTGTATTTACAGAACGCCCGATTCTGACGTATATAGCTTTTTTAATATATTTCAAACCCTTTTGCATAAATTAAAAAATAAAAAACAGCGAATTATTTTATGTGGTGACATGAATATAGACATTTTAAAGATAAACAATATAACTATGAATTACAATGACATTCTATCAAATTATAACTTGAAACACTTTATTAACGAACCGACTAGAAATTTATCTTGTATTGACCATATATTGAGTAATATTAAGGGTGCTAAAGGCGAAACACTCCGTTTATATGTATATGTCAGATCATGATACGTGCCAAATATTAAGGTTTCCCGTCACAAAAACAAAGCCAATTATCTTAAAGTGGTGTATATTTAGAAGAGATTACTGCTCTGAAAACATGAAAAAGTTTCGGGAATGCCTTTCAAATTTGTCCTGGAGCGAGGTATATGAAGAAAGTTCTTGCGATAAAGCTTTCCAAATTTTTCATGACAATTTATCATTATTTTTTTATCTCTGCTTTCCAGTTATTAAAGTTAATGTTAACAATAAAATGACAACACCCAAGTGGATCACACCAGGGCTTAGAATCTCTAGTAGGCGTAAGAGACAACTTACTTTTAAATATTTTAAAACGAAAACAAATGAAAATAAACAAGCATACAAAAAATATAACAATTATCTCAAAAAATGCGTTGTAGCATCGAAAAAATACACACTAATCGCGTATCTACAAAACGCAAAAAACAAATCTCTGCAACTTGGCATATTATAAAAGACCAACTAGACCAGAATCGAAGTCCTATAGTTGCTAATAAAATCTTAAATGATAATAATCAATTGATATCTGATCCAAATGAAATAGCGAATTTATTTAACAACTATTACATAAATAATAAAACAATTAAGAAACCTAGCACTAATCTTCAAAACGTTCATTCTGTAAACCCATCATTATTTCTAACTCCTTGTTCATGTGACGAAGTTTTCAAAGCTATAAATAATCTTAATAATACTAAAGCAGCAGGTTATGACTCAATAACAACAGAAGTGTTAAAATTCTCCTCACAACAACTAGCAAGTATCCTTACCCATCTCATAAATTTATCTTTCACACAGGGTATTTTTCCCAGTTCTTTAAAATTATCAATAGTTAAACCTATGTTTAAAAAGGGTAATACAGAGGATATTAGAAACTACAGACCTATAACTTTAATACCAACTTTAGCTAAAGTGTTGGAAAAACTTATGTACAATAGGTTGAGCTCTTTTTTAGGCAAATTCAATGTTATAAATGATGAACAGTACGGTTTTCAAAGAGGTAAAAATACTATCCCAGCAGCTTTCTCTTTAGTTAAGGCAATTGTAGAACATATCGATAGGCGCAAGCAGGTATCTGTAGTTTTTTTTGACATGAGCCAAGCTTTTGATTGCGTAGACTACAACATTCTTCTTCAAAAGTGTAGACTTTACGGAATCCGAGGATTGCCTTTAAATTGGCTGGAAAGTTACCTAACCGGTCGTAAACAATATGTTGAAATCACACATACTTCATCTCCTAAACATATTGAAAGGGGGTACAAGTCTGTGGCTATAGATTGCAATAAAGGCGTTCCTCAAGGGAGCATACTGGGCCCATTGCTGTTTCTTCTGTACATGAATGATTTACCAAATTTGGTTACTAAGAAATGCATTCTTTACGCGGATGATATCTCAGTGGTTGTGTCGAATGATACTACGCGCAACCACGAATCATTATTGAATGAAACAATAAAGAATGTCACGGAATGGTTGGAAATTAATAATTTAAGTGTAAATGTAAAAAAAAACAATTTTATACAATTTCAGAACTATAATAATTGCAGACCTAATAACCTCAAAATCAATTATAAAAACAAGTCAATTGAAGAAGTTGTATCAACCAAGTTTCTAGGCATAACACTAGACCAAAATCTTAATTGGAAACAACATATTTTAACGATATGCACGCACCTTAATAAATTTGTCTTTGCTTTGAGTCGAACTCGCAAAGTAGCTTCAAAACACGCAGCAATTATTGCTTATCACGGCTATGTTGCCTCAGTTTTGCGCTATGGTATCCTTTTATGGGGAAATTCGGTAGATGTGAGTAAAGTTTTTATTACTCAGAAAAAATGTATTAGGGCTATCATGGTCGTTGGACCTCTTATGAGCTGTAGACCAATTTTCCACGAACTCGGTATTCTGACAGTACCAAGTTTGTATATCTTGGAAGCAGTTATGACTGTCAAGAAGTATCCAAAACTATTTAATACATACAATGAAACTTGCTTATATATACCGAGGGATCCAACACGGCTGCGGGTGCCTGCATGTTGCACCGCGCTATATTCTAAAAATTGTAACGCCATGGCTATAAGAATATTTAATCACCTTCCCAGAAGTTATAGATCGCTGTCATGTAATGTCTTCAAAGGGAAGGTGATTGGGTTTCTAAAGTCAAGGTGCTTTTATAGCGTAGGCGAATATTTGGCCTATAAGTTTGACAACAATTGATTATAAATAGCTTGACGTATTATCATGACATTATGTTAATGTTTTTATTATATGACATAGCAAAAATTTATGACATTTGCATGCCTATTTATATATGGCTGATTGTCCGGATATAAAAAAAAAATAATGTGATTATAAAATCACATAAGGTTTGATTGTAATATAGTAAAATTCTAATTGTTAATTATGTAAGATAAATTTGCACGCCATTATATGTGGCAGAATATGCGGAGTTAAGATTGTACAACCATAAGATTTTTATACCATATTCTTGCAAATAAATTATTATTATTATTATTATTATTATTATTATTATTATTATTATTATTATTATTATTATTATTATTATTATTATTATTATTATTATTATTATTATTATTATTATTATTATTATTATTATTATTATTATTATTATTATTATTATTATTATGGTAAGTATGTAGTATGTTACATTAGGATTATATTTCTTACTTCACTTGTAGCCATTAAAATATAATAATTTAGTAGGTAACAAGTATTTATATTAATTCTGCTTGTCCACGATTGTTATGTAAAATATTATTTGGGTTAAAAAAATCAGTGGCGCTACAACCCCTTTAAGTCTTGGCCTCAGATTTCTGAATCTGTTTCATAATTATTTTTAAATCTAATAGGCAAGTAGGTCATCCTCCAGTGCCTGACACATGCTGTCGACAAGACATGTCGGATTCCTCATGATGTTTTCCTTCACCTTTTGAGCAAATGTTAAATGCGCACATAGAAAGAAAGTACATTGGTGCACAGCCGGGGATCGAACCTACGACCTCAGGTATGAGAGTCGCACGTTGAAGCCACTAGGCCAACACTGCTCATATTTGGGTTACTAGAGCATATATTTAGAGGAATGGTGTGTAAATATTTATTAATATTTATATTGTATGTAAAATCTCTGACCTGATTGGTTTTAGTAGATAAGCTGTGATGCTGCTACCAATTAGATGTAAATTAAGTAAATCCCAAACGCGGAATTGCAGGCACATATCACCATCACGAAGGCACACCTGGGCGAAGTAGAAATCTTAATAAATTTAATTAGCAACTGCAACTGTTATGATACGGAAATATCTTCTCAAAGGGCCACTTTGGCCCAATTTTAGTGTTTTAGATTATAATTTAAAAAATTGCTGTCCCATACATATTTTACTGCAAGTACGGATGAACCTGGAGAAAAATGCTTACCGTAGCCTTCTTACTAAAGCCAACTGAGCTGACATGTTTGTTCGGTCGTATGAGTTTTGTGAAGAGCAAACTTGTAAGACCACCGGATAAAGCTGTACCCGCCACTATCTGCACAATAAACATCTATTACACTTTGAAATTAACTGGAATTCAGAGCACAGTTAGAACGATTTTATAAGCGAGTTAAACCTAATTTTTTTTTTTATATTTCTATTCATTACTATGATATATAGTTACCTCTAACACCATAACAATAATAGCTTCAGGACATTCTTCATTTGGAAATCTAACTCCATATCCAATTGTCATCTGAAAAATATTTTCATCTTTTCTTTAAGCTTAATTTTAAATCAATATGTAATTAGAAATCTTAATAAGGTTTTAATATTATTAAAACAATGTTGATTTACTTTACATTTACACCAGGACAGCTTTGGAAACGTCTGGTATTGGTAGTACACGCGTGGACAAGATAACATAAAGGGTATTTCAACAAGAAGTTTGTTTTTCAATTGTGGCAACACCGAGAACGTGATAGTTTTGACATTTAGTTTTTGGCGGTATTCGTAGCAGGTGCTTTGGCAATTATTACAATGAATTCAATTTCACTCGAAAATCGCATTAAAATAATTCAAATCCACTATAAAAATGGTGGTTCTGTTAAAGTTACATTTCGTAAAATTCGTGATATTTTCGGCCAGCATAATCGTCCTTCTGAGACCGCTGTTAAGAATTTGGTCGCGAAATTTGAGTCGACAGGCTCGGTACAAAATGTGCCAACACCAACACGTGTTCGACCGGGTCGTTCAACAGAAAACATCGCCGCCGTGAGCCACAGTGTTGAAGAAGATCAAAATTTGTCAATTTCACGACGTTCTCAACAATTGGGGTTATCCAAAAGCACAACATGGCGAATTTTGCGAAAGGATTTGGCTTTGAAGCCTTACAAGATTCAACTGGTGCAGGAATTAAAGCTGATCGACCATTCAAATCGCCGCAGATTCGCTCAGTTCATTCAGGAACAACCTGCTGGTTTTTCTGAAAAAATCATTTTTTCAGACGAAGCCCATTTTCATTTGTCAGGGTACGTCAACAAGCAAAATTGTCGCATTTGGGCTTCTGAAAATCCTAAAGCAATTATTGAGAAGGCTTTGCATACTCAACGTGTTACTGGTGGTGCATATGTGGTCTGGAGGCGTGATTGGGCCGTTTTTTTTCGAAGATGAGGCTGGAAATGCGGTAACAGTCAATGGATCACGGTATCGCGAGATGTTAACCACTAAATTTTGGCCTATTATTGATGACATGGATATCACTGAAATGTGGTTTCAACAGGACGGTGCCAATGTCACACAGCCAATGAACGATCAATTTATTGCAAACCAAATTTCCCGAGCGCATAATTTCGCGAAATTCAGCTGTTAAGTGGCCAGCCAGATCGTGTGATTTAACACCACTGGATTATTTTTGTGGGGCTATGTTAAAGACAGAGTCTATACGGAGCCAATCGAATCGATTGCAGCCTTAAAACTCAAAATCCGTGATGTCATTAACGAAATAGACCCTCCATTTTGCCAAAAAGTGATTAAAAATTTTGATGAAAGAATCAACATCTGTCAGCGTGGTCGTGGTGGACATTTGCCAGATATCATTTTTCATTCATAATTGCCAAACTTTTCTCTTTGTAATACAATAAAAATTTTATTCATTTTCCTCTAAATTCTTTGTTTTATTTTGTTTTAGAAAACAAAGTTCTTGTTGAAAAACCCTTTATAAAATTATACTCTACTTGAGTCTCAACAGCCATCATCAAGAGCCCAGCAAAGGACGACGTGCCTGTTACACAATGAGGTTTGCCATCGCCAATATCATCCTGATAAGACGCTGTCACCACCCACCAAATGCTGGCAAAGAACAGCCAAAACGTGAAATGAGCTACGACCAATAGTAGCAACAGGTAACGCCATTTGCTATTGATCTGAAAGGAGATATAGGGCCTTATTTATTTAATATATGAACTGAACAGGATGGATATATCGTTTCATAATGTGAGGAAAAGTGTAGAAAAACTTGTGTGTTACAACGACTAAGGGAAACTGTTACCCATGATACGGTATTAGCTGCTTATCATGCATATGTTTCATCTATACATAGATATGGAATTATAGTTTGGGGAAATTCAGTCAAAATAAATAGGGTATTTAAGGCTCAAAAAAATGTATTAGAGCAATTCGTGGAGCAAACTGTCTTGATAGTTGCGTATGTATATTTTAGAAATGTCCTTATTCGTGCACATAAACATACATATTTTTAAGTCAACGGGAATAATCATCTGTCGAATGACAAACATGGGGAGAAATTGGCTGTGCAAAGAATCAATCTGGAACTGTATAGGAAAAACACCTTTTGTATGGCAATCAAGGTTTACAATAATTTACCAAAAGAAATAAAAGGTCTTCCGATTAGAGTTTTTAAAAATCGACTTGGTATTACTTTTGGAAAAAATGTATAATTCAGTAAATGATTATTTGCGATTAGTAGACACTGTAGTTGAAATAAATGTTATAACGTACTATGATATGATATGTACAATACAAGTAATATGAGAATTGACCAATTCATATGACTAATAATGTAAAATGTAAAATTCCTTTAAAGACAAATTTGCGCGCCATTGTGTGTGGCCGAATATGCGAACTTACCACATTTTTGTACCATATTCTTGCAATAAATTATTATTATTATTATTAAAACCGAGGAAAAATAACATAAGTAAAGGACGTATGCGTTGTATAAGAAGGCCGATCGTATCTCTTGGGGTTTCTATGGGATATGAAAAGAAGATTCAATCCGAAATGGTGGAAGAAAAACTTAAAAAAAAGTGAGTAGCAGTGCAATTCTAAGGTAGAAATATTCCGATCTTAGGCCATCCATGCCGTGCCTGCCTACTTTGGTTTTTGTTAAATGTTTTAATTTTATAATCTCTAAGTATAGTATCTGTAGGAAGGCAAATCCCATGGGGAAAAAAAAACCCCCCCGGAAAGGGCCCCGGGGGGGGACCCCAATTTTTTAAAAACCCCAACCCTTTAAAATTTGGGGGGGGCCTGTTATTTATAATTCTGCTGTACATTTCTATGTATTACTTTAGAACTATTCTACTGGTGATTCATAGTAAAACAAGGTTAAGAACTTTAAAATTACTCTCATAAAATGAGACCCAGTTATAGCTACAGACAAAACAGGCTTCGTTTGTTTTTTTTTTAATTAAGGTCTAAAGACCTTAAAAGTGACGTAGATACTTGTCCGACTCGTTGTACAACCGATTTGTTTGCAAGACTAATACAAACATTCTAAATGAGGCTAGTACTGCTGAATCCACTTTTTAAATAAACACCAAAACAAAACTGTTTCGAAATATTTGAGTTTGCTTCTAGTTATTAATAAAGAACTACTTACAACAGTGTTAACAATGTCCCTCATATATTTCATAGATTTTGCGGGGATATTACTTCTGATGGGGACATTCTCCTCTCCAGTCTTGAATACCACACGCCGTGAACGAATCTGTCTGCCAATGCCGTGGTGACGACTGAAATTAGCGAAATAACTATTGTTTTAACACTTGGCAAAAAATCAATATAATTAATTATTGCTTGGGTTATTATATATTTAATCTGTTGCATTATTTGAAATAGGCCTGGTAGCTGCTTCAGAAGTCAGATTGGCAATACCTTATGTTCTACTTACGTACGTTTTTTCCCAGTCCGTCTTCGTCTACTTGTATACGGTGTCGAGTACCCATAGAGCGACGGTACCTCATTGTACGTACTGTCATTGTAGGTATCTGGTTCAATACTTTCGTAGATTTCGTCTGGAGGACTTGAACTGACCAAGGGCTGAGTGGATGCGTCAGAAGTGTGCCTCTTTTCAGACGATTTACGGCTCTCAGTTTCAACATCAATTGTCATGACTAGACCGTTGTCTGCTTCTTGTTCGTCGTCACTTGATGGTGAATCGACGTATCCTCCTCCTTCATAGCTGATCGGAACTCTTGTGTCAAGGTTTTTGAGGCAAGGAAACGCGATTTCTTTTCCTAAAAACGTAAGATTCAAGGATTGTGAAGATATTTTTAATGATGCTTTAATTATAATTTTTTATTAGGCTAATTCTTAAGAGAAATCGTTACTCGTGTCGGATATCAGAGCCATCAGACTATGTCAGGAGTGGAAAAAGAGTAAATCCTGCGTACCTAATTATACACCAATCTACGTAAATTGCCTTAATTTGATTTGATAGATTAGCCATTCTAGGCCAAATTGTAAAAGTTGATGCTATTTATATGTTATTCCCAAAATAGTACTAGAAAATTAGGGTGATGTTTTACTAAGTTTGCCATCCTTTAAGATTATTGCCTTACCTTCGACATAGGTCTGTGAGATCCTGTACTGCTTCATTATTTCTTCATTAGTATACACTTCTGTTTGAGTCATTCTTGGTATTTCTATGGAAGATCTACCAGATGAATTTCCAATTGCTTCTGAGTAGCTCAGGGACCTTTCCAGGACCCTACTTTTGCTACCTCTTCTTTCTGATTCGTAATTATTCGCCATAATATTTCACTCTCACTTCATTGGTGTCTGTCTTTTCACTTATGAGACTTTCGCTTTCAACTCTTGAATTTGCAAAACACTTTAAATTATCTAGAAGATAAATTTTGATAAGAAATAACCAATTTACTGCGTAGATTTATAGAGTTTATTACTAGAAAATGTTCTGAGTTATTTAATAGATTTATTTCATAAATATTGAATTTAATATGTTACGTTTTATGTTGTCTTTTGTCTTAAACTTAGCCACGTTTTACGTCAAATAGTTATTCTAAGTTTATTTTCAATGTGTGAATAGATGTGTTATCTCGTGTCAAGATATTGTGTCGAGATAAGGATAATAAGATATAATGTTTTCAATAAACGGGCGTGAAATGTAGGTCGGTTAATTATTTACTTAGCAAAGATTTGCATGGAAAATTACTTCAATTATATCTTATGAATTCTACGTGACCTACGCAAATGCTTTTAAAACACAAATATTCCGTATGGATATGGATACGTTAATTGAGTAACTCTTCTGCTTTCTTGATTAATCTCGGTAAGGCTCACTAGTCCAAAATAATAAATTACAGAATTCTACAATCACTTTATTAAAAACTATACAATTATTTTAATGTATAATGTTAATGTAATCAAAAACATTATAACTTCTTATTGCTCCTAAACGAAGAACTCCTCTGCAGTTCGAAGCTTGACACCTTCTCGCTGAAGCTACCAGGAGTACCAGGTCGATGAGACTTGGATCGGGAAGATGGCCTTGAACTGAAATATTATTATAATTCTTTCATCTTAACGACACACGTAGTAGCTACACATTTAAATGGAATCATCTAGCGAATATAGACGTAAGTTTATTAAATTATTTGTACAAGTGGAAGTTTCGTGCGTTTCAGCTAACGTCACTCTTAAAAAATCCCCTGGTGACCACGATGCACGACGTGCAAAATATGATATTTTGATACTATGGAAATTATCATTCAACGGCTTCTTTACTTTTAAAAAATTGTGACAGATTTTTTTTATATTTTACTTAATGGAAAAAAAGTAATCATTCATACTTGTCAAGGTCATAGGCGCTGCAATAAGGAGTGTCCACTGGCTCCATTGTGTCCAATTTATTATGATCAATTACATATTTCTGCTTCTTGGTGTTGTATCTGATTGGATCAAGAATACTTTAAGTTACGTCTTTGGATAATTGCATAATATACACAATACATATAACATCAAAGAACCAGATAGTCGCTGTAGAATGATAACCTCGTATGTCCAGAGAATCAAACATTACAGGAAACGAAAAAAATGTTTCATTTCGTCAATGTTCGTTAAAATATTATTATGTATTTTTGTCCAATGTTTTGGATGGTTAAAAGGACTTATCTATTAATAACATAAATAAGTCCTAATTTCATGATTATACCAGTTAAATGACATGAATCTAAGAATAAAAAATAAATGGTTTTTTGACATACGAGGTTATCATTCCATATGGACGAGTTGTTTTTTGATGGTATCAATTATTCCTTCTATCGTCCAAATAAGTTCTTTTATATTTGGTCCCATTAATGAGGCCTCACAGACAACACGAATTTATATTTAAATATATCACCACGCCATAACAATTAATTATTCTTGAATCATTGACCTGACGACAGAGGGAAATCTTTTGCCCCATACCACTTCGCGTGGTAGATATGAACTCTGGCTCTGAGTATATGTACCCATAGATGCTGATGCACCTTTCAGGCTTACTGTGATTTCATAGCTGAAATTAAAAAAAATTGCATTTTAAGGCACATGGAAAGTCTCTCCAAATCCTCCGTAACTAACAGTATCGACTTTTGCAGATCATAATTTTTTTTATAGAACAGGGGGCAAACGGGTAGGCAGGGCTCATCTGATGTTAAGTGATACCGCCGCCCATTGACTCTCTCAATGCCAGAGGGCTCGCGAGTGCGTTGCCGGTCTTTAAAATAATGATGGGCAAAATCAGAGCAGGTAAACGAGAACCTAGACGACGCAAAATATCTTCGTTATGGCTGAGAGTGCAGGGTGGTGAAGTCTAGAACAATTGTTCTGATTGGCAATGAACAAGCAGAAATTTCGAAGATTGACTTTAGCAATTTGAGAGGCATTGCAAGAGAAAGGGAGTCTAACGATTCCTTAAATATATCGGGTATGGTTTATTTATTTATTAGTTTAATTTCTACCCGTATCACCAAATAATACTATTTTAAGCAAATAAAGTTAAAAAATGTTCTAGATATTACTCTCACCAATCAACCCTAAGTATATCCAACATAAATTTGATACGAATAATATGTTTCATGGTTCAGTTTCAAATAGAAATAAAGATACCTGTTATCAGTGAAATGTTGAGGTGTGAATGTGTAAAGCGGGCTGTCGGCATCAATGACGTGAAGAAGAGTGACAGGCCACAGCAGGAACTGACGCTGTTGCAGCTTTAAAGATTCCGCGTAGTAGCGTACTACCTCACCTTCCTTTGTTCTAGAAGTAATAGGTATTAAATATATATAATTATTTATTGACTTAGTCAAAACAAAAGCGACCAACACAAAAATATAGAAAGTAATATAGTTTAAAGTTAGTGGGTCGTGAGGTCATAAGTATGTATAAGAGATGAATAGATAGATATAATGATAGAAATGTTAAACCTACCTTTGAATAAAGTTCAGTGGATAATGTATATATATTTTATTTCGCGACATTTAAAAGACAAAAATACATATATATATATACACACAAGAGTGAAGTTTTTTCTTCTTAAATTATGTAAACTTATTTATTGTGTAAATATGGAATATATATAAAAAGGAATCCGTAATTTTAAGTTTAAAATTAATGATTATACCTTCGTGTGTGTATGTAGTGAGCGGTAAACTCCGAACATATAATATGGTCGTAGTTGAGATCCCAGGCTCTGATCATGAGGCAAAGACGGCCATCTCGCATACTTATCTGAAATAGTAATAGCATTTCAATGTATTACATCTTCCAGAAAAACGCTATGCCATTGATTTGCGTACCTACTCATATTTATGGTCGTTCATAAGTGTTTCCTAAATTAATAAATTATATTTTAATTTCATTAATTATCTGTGCGCTACAGTGACGGATTTACCAGCAGGCTGAGTAGGCTGGAGCCTAGGGCGGCAAATTTTAAGGGGCGGCAAATTTAGTTCATAATTTTTTTTATTTCGGTTTACAAATTTAAAAAAAAAATATTATACACACACATAATACGAATTTCGAAAATTGGAGAGAAATTAAAATATTTAACAAAAATCTAAATATTCTCATATACAGTGCTAATTAATAAATATTTCAACATCTCTGCATGAACAATTCCTAAACGCTTTACTAATTATACATTAATGATTATGAACTTTTAGAATATCGCGATTCGATATTATAATCGAAACTTAGTAATTTTTACATATATTCTTCACTGATAACTGCTATAATTTTTTCTCCGTGTACCTAATAATTATGAGATCTGCTTACCCAATTCAATCGATATAATATCGATGGTTTATTAAAAATACTGACTAAAATTGACTAATTTTTTATTAAATAAAAAACTAGTTCAATATCTTATAGAGATCATTAATGAAATAACTGATAGTTGAACGACTGTGACTTGACAATAAAAAAATTCCTCCACAAAATATGAAGTGAGACAATTTGCTCATTAGAAAATTGATACATTTTATCAGTTAATTATTTTATTCGCAGTAAGAAAAAGTTTGGAAAATCCAAATGAGCAGGCCTTAAGCGCTCATGTCGTACACGAATTATTTAAATTAAATGTTTACATCAGTAGATTTGATAACTTTTTCGCAAAGCCAACTTTTTCAGAAAATGCCAATCGGAATGAATTAATTATAATAAGATAAAACAATACTCAGCTGCAATTTTTTATTCAACGGCTTCTCTCCAGTTAAACAAGTATATTAAAAAAAACTGTTTACTGTGAACACGATCATCCAAAATCCATACGATATGGCATTAAAATTACTTCCTTTTAAATAAAAAATAATTAATCATAACCGAAAAAATTATTTTTATAAGCTCGGCGATCATTTTTCTTTCCGATAAGTTGCTTTTTAAATAATATTCATGTACATCATATTTGTTAGGTACGGTTTAATGTGAGAAAACATCGGATTTAGATTTTTAGGCAAGAGTAGAGCATACCTACTACGCGCTTCGCACTTAAGGCATGTAATTGCGTAGTCGTATTTGTATTGTAACGCCAGAACAAACGACATGACGATTCGGTAAGAGTGTCTGGCTGAATGGATAGCACAAGTGCAGCGCGATAGGGTTACTACGTGAGCCGAAGCGGGCTCCTGATATATAAAAAAGTTATAAAGTTGGAATTTTATTGATAGAAAATTGATATGATTGTGGACTTAAGATATCAAAATTTAGAGGCGGCAAAAATTGAATAGCCTACGGGCGGCAAATCTATAAATCCGCCACTGGTGCGCTATTTTATTTGTGTAAATGGTATTATAACTGCCGTAGTAGACACATCGATTCTCTTAAATTTGATTTGAGTATTGTCAGGTACATACTTATGCCATATGATTTATAACAAAGCTTCGCTGTCTTGAAAGCATCTATCGTCAAATTCTGGTTAATAAAATAGGATTATTGAATATCATTACCACAGCCTTTTTACTAAAACCGACGCCATCTCTTGACAGTTTCTCAGGTCTAGTTAACTTTGCATACACAACACATGTTAGGACTCCCGAGAGCCCGGTTCCAAGTATTAGCTGAAAAGAATAAATATTCTAGTGATAAATGGAACTATTATATTATAAAGTCATTAACGATGTAACTATATATGTGATGTGACAAAAAACACATACCTACTATTAAATTACAAACAGGGCAGGAAACTTTTAAAGCTATGATTGAGCTCTCTGGTATCAGAAACTTTTCTATGTACCGACGTCGTGTCGCCCAGTTATATAATTAATAATTTTTTAAAATAATACCTGCATGACAAAGAGAAATATAGACTCAGGACATTCTTCATCAATCGCTCGATCACCAAACCCGATGGTCGTCTGAAATTATAATTTCCTCATTTTAGTAATGAATTAAATGATCGGATTCCTTTATTAAATAAGTGCTTATTTAGATCATCAAAGAGACCGAACGGATCAAAATTATCACATCGAATTGCCAAATTTGCTTTATTAAAGGACAAATAAAATTAGTTATCTTTGAAATTAAGGTGTATAGGAAATGTTCATTTAACTCAATTTGAATATTGGACCAACCTGTGCCTCAACAGAAGCCAAGAATATGGTAACGAAGTCCTTTCCCCCAGTAACGCAGAGGCGTTGTGGAGGTTCTGGTTCGAAGTCGTAATGTGCCAGAGCAGAGATGTACCAGAATACTGCAAAGACCAGCCAGATTGCGAAATGGATACAAACCGTTCCCATCACAATCCAACGCCAACGAAGGTTTATCTGAAGTGTTTATAAGTAAATGTTACGTAATTTAATTAATGCTTATATTTTATTACCGATATTAAGAATTATTTCTGTTTATCATTATCTTTATCCATGGGATTAAAATAGTGGAAAAAAAAAGATTGGAAGAATTTCTTGCTAGTTCTCGGAGGATCTTTAGTTTTTTTATTTACGTTCATCTCTCTCTCTTCTGTCGGTAGCTCATGTTTGATCGTCGTAGTCAGCAAGGAAACATTCTGCTGCTGCTGCAGGAGCGGACAATCTGTTTCAACCGGTTTCTGTCCAGCGCCACTCTTATTATAGTATATAGTTCATAAATGCGCGTTATATTACCAATGTACATAAGTGATATTTTAATTTGATTTGATAAATGCATGATTAAGTAAGATTATCCCACAAACTGAGTGTCTGATAGTAATAGGCGCGTTAGAACGTTGCTGGTAATGTGAGAAGTGGTGCGCTCATTTCTTGATCCTAAAAGGAACTGGTGAATCTTAAAGGTAGCTAGTTCTTACCAGTGTATGAAATGTATCGTTTAACAGTCGTATCTTCCCGAATGGTACGTTTGATATGAGAGCGATATTTTCCACTCCGTCCTTGGATACTAACCGCTTTGGATACTCACAGTGACGTTTGCGAAAAGATGGCTCTGATCTAAAAAATAAACACTAGTTTTTACTATTTGTTATATTATACAATATATGTTTGTCTTTTAAAACTTAGTTTTTTTTTATTCTTGTTGCATGGCTATTGTTTAAATATCTTATCTTAAAAATTGGATCTATCATTTTAAAATTACGTTATATGCTAATTTATTACAACTACGATTCCTTCTTCTCTAGACTTACCTTCTCTTAGAAGGTGGCGTTTTAAATCCAGATTTAATTGGTACGAAATGATTGACTTTCTCTCGTTGTTCCAAACTAGAATTACTGTGTGTTATTATAATTTTTGGCAGCTGTTTTGATAGTCGACGCAATCTCTCTGATTTAGTCTCTCCCAATATTGAATTTATGCTTTCATTCGACTTCAATTCATTTATAACATTAAAACCTATTTTAGGTTCATCTGTGTCATAAATTTCATTTAAATGTTCTCGTGTCTTGCAATTTAAATCGTTGAAAGTGTTTTTTTCTTTGATACTTTCATAATCAGGATCTTCACTTTCATTTAAATCTTTGTAGTCCTTTAGATATCCCAAACATTCATCATATAGTTGATTTATTTGATGGTATTCACTATCTATAAGGTTATCATTTTCCATTACTTTTTCTTATTTCAAAACTCGCCACAATAACCTGATTTTAAATTGTGATCTCAAACTAGGTAATCTATTATAATGAGAATTTTTAGTTAAAACTCAAACCATGTGTAGCAAATTACCAAAACACTGACAATTAATTTTTTTAAGATTTTAATTTTCTTTAACGATGATTACAATGTCACTGGCACTGATGTTATCTTGCGTTATCAGTTGTGATTGCTCGAGAGATCACTGCAAGATACGCGACGTTCTCTCGCGAAGGTTTTTCACATTTGGTACCAGTGCCGGATTAAGCCAGCGCGGGGCCTGTAGCAAATTCTGCCTATGGGCCCTTGGTTTGTTTAAGGTTTTTAAGTTAAGGGTATTTAATAAAACAAATCTGTTTCAAATAAACTTTTCTGGGTTTAATATGGGCAAATTTAGAGATAACACTATCAATATCGACTTCTTCAAGCAAATCATTCTCTATATTGAACAAAGTGAGACGATTAAGAGGTTTTTGGCCCATCGAGTTCCTTAATTCATTTTTAATAACATATAATTTTGAAAAAAAAAAAAACGTTCGCCACCACAATCAGTGATCATGAGAGAGAAGTAAATGCAATGCGCAATCATTTAATAAAAGTTTATAAAATTGCTGCTCCTGAGGTTCCTGTTTCTTACTGTCAATAACAGTAGCCACATCTGTTTTCAGCAACTCTACAAACTGCACTAATTCGCTAAACCAATGCTGTTGTCCAAATCATCTTCATAAGCGCTGACCATACTTGAGTTTTGAATTTTTCAAAATCTCTTCTGTGTAAGAGATTTTAGCTATCGAAATTCTTCAAAAACACAAAATCTTATGATATACTTTCATACGTTTAATTAAAGCAGGCAGGGCGATATCAATAATAACATGAAACATCAAAACTTCGAAACGTGTCCAGGTTCTTATTTTTAACAAAGTCGTCGAGTGTAGTAGAGCCGCTAAAATGGTCGTACTTTGTATTTCGCTTGATTCATCTTGATGTCTGTTGCTGGTAATCTTCACAGTTGGTCGGATCCTTGGTTCTTGCTTCAATATCTGAAAATGTGGATCTCATTGCTTGGTCGTAGCCATTTAATGATTCATAAAGGGCATATCCCCTATTAAGGTCTTGATCAGACGACTGCAGCGAAGCACTAGTCGCTTGCAAGCGTTCTAGGATTCCGTTCCACGTAATTGTCATTATTCCTGTTTCTAACTTATTCATCGTTGAAACTAGTCCGTAAGCTTTATTACGGCACTCCGCTATTTGATCAACTGTCTTCTAAAACTTGTTTAATAGTGATAAAACCGTATAAAAGTGCCTTCGTGGCATCGTCTCGGGCTGACCATCTCGTGTCTAAGACGACCCCATCGATAGGTAGAAGCCTGAATTTGCATGATTGTTAATAAAGGAAATATATGTTGATATGTTCAGCTACGGGCTATTAATTCTAACAAGCCTAAATACGTATAATATCCAGTGAGGTAAATAATTTCCATTGTGAGGTGAACCAACAATTTCTTCATTACCCCAAAACCCATGACCTCTTTCTGCTAAAAACTCGATTACTGAAATGATTCGTTAAAAGAGTAGCCTCCAATACTTTTTCTGTCTCAGTTTGGCTCACTAGTTGGCAATCAGCACGCCTAATATAGTTTTTGACGTTTAACAGTGAAATTATGACATTGAAATCAAGTAATAATATGCCATCGACTACTTTTGGTTAGAACACGACGACTCTAGAGCGAGAGGACTGGCTTGCTGCGTGCTTTTAACTTCTCTTTGGCTAAAACATGATATAGCTAAATTAGGAGGAATTTGTGTCTCTTCAACCACATCATGACTCACAGAAAATGTAGCTTCATCAGAAACGGTAGTATTACTACTATCATATGTACAATGAGATGCAACTTCTGTATTTTCAGATTTACTTTCTGTAGATTCAGCAACAAATTCAAATTCAAAAATAATTTGATCATATAGGTAACACACTGTACAGTTATGATCGTCAAAAAAAAGAAATGTATAAGAAAAGCTTCTAACTTTACATTTAATGCCAGTTCTCAGATCAAGGGCGTAGAACGGAAGAGAAGAACTGGCAATAAACTCTCCGCCACTCTTTTTAATCGATTTTTTACACAACGTTTGTAAGCACTCTGAATATTAAAATACTCGATCAGCTTACGTGTTTTTGTTATAACAGCTTCGTTCTATACCGTAAAGATATTCAAGAAAATTGCATGTGTAAATTAAATATCATGTGAACAAATAAAATGTATAATTTTTAATTATATAAATTTTTGATTTGTCATTTTTAAATTACCCGCCTTTTTACTTGAAACTCTAGAAAAACACCTTGCCCTTAATCTACCGTCACTTGCTTTTAATAATCTCGAAAGAAAAAAAGGTCAGCTGTATTCACTCATAAAATGAATCTATTTTATTATAAATCAACCAACCACAGTGGAAAGTTAAATAGTTCGCCTGTTTCCTCGAAACACTTAAAATCGATTAGAAAGGTACGATCTCGGCTACGAAAACTCGCAAAACAAACGTATACCTTTATAAAGTAAAAATCTGGCGGCTTGAAGGGTAGAAATATCATGCTAGCCTAAATATATCGATTATAATTAAAATTTTAAAATTCACGTTTAAAAAGTTAAATGCGTACTTATTTTTACGATTAAATTTTACGAAGTCGAGTTTATTTTAATGTGGAAGCATAGACTCAGCACTTCGCGTTATAGGTATGCTAGATATATAACGCTCCTATCTAAATTAATACTTTTTTTATTACGGTCAGACAGGCGTTGGAGCGCGGGGCCCCTAAATTCGCGGGGCCCGTAGCATTTGCTACTCTTGCTATATGGCTAATCCGGCACTGTTTGGTACAACTTTGCCTTTGCCTCACTGCATGCAATTTCATTATTTAGTCTGTAAAGTAGCTTAAAACAATATTATAACGTAACGCGTAATTAGAACCACTATGCTTTTACTCCAAAACTGAAGAAATATTTTTATTATTTTCTGAGATTTTACTATGATATAAATGCGATCATAGAAAATATGAAAAGCTTCAAGGTTTTAAGAACATTACTATAGTTTTATTTAAGGAAATCATACATAATGTGTTCGAATAATTATGTATCCAATTATTTAAGTGTACAATATTAAAATGTCAAATAAAATTAAAATAAATAAATTTGGAACTTGGAATTATTTAGTACAAAAAAAATTTGCAACAGACAAAAATATTGATATTCGTAAAAAACGTCATAACGGAACATACCACAAATCTATCACGACATTTTCCTTTGTTAAATATGCATTACCTATCTTTCTTGACACGACCGAGCAAACATAAGATTAGAACGCTTAGTCAGAACCAATCATTAGGTACCTTATTCAAAAAACCTAAATATCAGTCTTATTACTCGTACACCACTTTAACTATAGCACTGATCTCTCTTTTAATCACAATAAGAGAGAAAGAGACAAGAATGTTTAATTATTGTTGATCGTTTTTTTATGTAACTTCTTTTATGTAATTTCGCGTTAGTATCCGTTTAAAAAGATTTATATGAAAACGCGTGTAAATTTTCTGAATATAAGGACATACTAAAGTTTTATTTAGATTATTTTATACCGCAGATAGATAAAAAGAATAATTTTCTATTATGTAGTTCTACTTGGTTTTAACTACAATGAAGCACGTTCTAACAACATGATTTCTATTAGTTATGTTATATTTAGCCACATATTTTAATTACTATTTGCTTAGTGGGTTCTTCGCTATATAGTATCACAAAAGTATTTAGACAATCATATGGCGTTTAATAATAAAAATGACATGTTTGTTTTTCTGTATTAAACAAAAATCTAATAATATCTATAGCATATTATCTTAATGAGGCCATCTGGCTTACTTTATTAGCAATAAATAATTAGTATTGTCTTTGATTGACATAACCTTTACACATTTAAAGAAAAAACTAATTAATTAATTATTAGACAAGATACTCATTATTCTATTCAAGGGAGATTATTCTAAAAATTTCGAAAATTATTACGACACGTCTTGCACGATTGAAATTGCCAGCGTAGTGTAGTGATTAATCTAATAAAATCTTCCTGTGCAGACAGACAGGCCGGATATGACATACATTATATAATGTTTTCTTAATGTAAACTAGGCAAAGGCAAACAACACTTGTTGTAGTGAAATAGATGATGGATGCCCATTATCTTACGTTGCCTTCTGCGCTTTGCTCTTACAGTTTATAGTATGACTAGCAAAAGCTCGAGTCCATACCAACGATTTTCTTAAGGCAAGTGAACGATCGGTTAATCTGACTTATTTGTCGAATTTACTTCCGTATATAAAGTAACTGTGCGGTTTCTGGGTCAACGGTTTGTTTTTAAATAACGCAAAAATATAAGGTGCACTATTTATTATCACTTGCTTACAACATTGAGAATGAAAATAAATGAATTCTAAATTAATATATGCTATTGATTATATGAAAAGAAATGCAATGCTATACTAATAAAATGCTGAAGTGCCTGTGTCCCGCCGTAGTGGCGTATCACCGACGATTGAGGAAATCGCCATAAATATAAAACTAAGAAAGCCTGAATGACCGAAATGTACAGTAATAAGACAAATAGGTAAGTTGGTCCAATAAAAAACATAATACACGAACATAACATTTATATTTTTATGAAATACAGGTAGTTCACATATATTATCTATTCTTATGCTGAGATTATAATTATCTGCTATTTTCTATATAGGTTTTTATATAATTCTATTTAATTATTAATTCAACGCCTATTTATCAACTATTTGTTGTAACGTTGTACATATATCATTTTTATATATTTTTTAACATCAAATATTTAATTAAATAGATTTATGATTTTATTAATTATTAAACTATGGTACACTCATATATAACAAATTTACCTAAAACTCTTACTACTACATAAAGAATGGAATAAGATTTTGATAAAAGTTCATATGATGTATGTTATAAATTGTATTTGATTTATTAAAAAATGTCACAACCATGTATATTTACAACGTTTTGGGGCAATGAGTATATCAGGAGATATTTGTATTAACTCAAATAAAACAAAAACACAAAAATTAAAACAACCATTTATTGAAATTAAATGTAAAATAAAAATAAATTATACAAAATGAAAACTTACAACAGAAATAAATTTTGTTTTTAATTACAACAGCTGTGTCTCACTTTTTTTCATTTTATTTCAAACATAAAACTTAATTCTAGGAATATATATTGAGCACCTAACTCGAGGGGATTAAACCCATTCTCAGAAAAAACTCTTTGCTTTTATCGTTCTATTTTTATTCTGGGATATTGTATTGTAACGCGAAGCTTGATCGACTTGACGCGTCCCTCCGCACAGTTTAGTCTTATGAAATACATCTAGAATTTTGTCTAAGCTTGGAAATATAAAGGATGAGTTATGGGTTACCATACTACAAGCATTTATATCGATTAATTTATTGAAACCTATTGCCCCCTTCCCCTCATGATCTATTGTGCTTACATTTAATAGTTATATTATCTATATTTAAACTATATACTTCAATACGATATTGCTTCAGATTTTATAAAATTTATCTCACTGCTCGTAGTTAAAACTTTTCAACTATTTTACGATTCAAAAATGCATTAGGCATGTAACGGAATCGATATTATAAATACTATATGTATGTAGACCTATAATTTCTTATATTATTGAAATGTTATTAAAATAAAATTGTACTCTTATTTATATTTATAATATATTACGTTGGCACTCGGGCACAATAAGTACACAATGAGCTCAAGCAAATATTAAAAATAATAGGTCTAAACTGACACTTTGCTACAATTATTTTATTTTAAATAGTAACTATAATAATTTGGTAAAATTTCACACATTGTAAATATCACGGGGACTGATGGCACCAGAGTGATTTCTGAAATGTTTTTTAAAAGTAAAATTAAATTTTCTTTTCGTATCTTCAATGGCATTCTGAAGTATAAAGCAAATAAAAGTAGTAGCTTTATAAATGGTTTGAATTTATACCACATAATAGATAGCTAATAGAAGTGAACAAAAAGAGAGATATTAATGAAAAGCAAAAGCATACCGTAACACCTCGGCTACACGTCTGTTGTGTACCTCCTGAAATTATTGAAACAATGTGATAGTATCTGAGTCACGGCTATAATATGTGCTCAGGGTAATGGTTAGTGATTTGAAGTAATCAGTTTTATGAATGGTCAACGGAGAAGTTATGAATTGATTTAAAAGTACATGTAGTAACTTACTTGAATAGAATATTAGAAGAGAATAATGTTAAATTCACGATCATTCAGTAAGTAAATGAATCTTATAGAATATAATATAGGCCATACCTATCGGGTGCGCGGAGTGCCTCGTCGTCAGAGTCCATGTCATAGATATCCTGCATGTAGCTCTTGTTTGAGAAGCCGACATCTGAAAAATAGAGTGAATTGGACTTGACACTGATGAGATAGGAAGACAAGATTAAAGCAATAGGAGACAATGGGAGGTTGGGTAAAAACTGCGAAATAGCAGAAACGCCTGGAGAAGGCCGTCTCCTCCAATGCGAGAAAATCGTAATGATAAGACATGACCAGGAAACTCATGAATTAAGAATTTTTTTATCGTGACATAAAAGACTAATTACATAAAAGATATATTCATTTCATGTTCAAATATGTTAATGTCAAATAATGAATGAATTTTTACATTATTATGTGAGATAATGACCTCAGATGTGTAACTGCTGTAACATATACAGCCTACGTGACGCAACACCAAGTACATAAGACGGCTTAGTGCTATTAGATAAGACAAGCTACGCAAATGTTCGTTTAGTTTTCCTTCTTTAACAATACGACGATATAATGTTAATCATATTTTAATTAAACCTTAGTACAATTGTGGTCAGTAGTCAGTAGTTAACCACATAATTGCTGACAAGTATTCGAAACGTCCAGTTATATAAATGTAAATAAATTTGCGTTCAATATAACAATACCTAATATTAATTACCTTTATTGCTGTACACATCATCGGCCCACTTGATATTGTCGTCCGAGTAGAGAGGGGGCAGGGTCTGATGCGGAGTTGGGTAGAGGTCCAACACTCGTTTCTCGTCTCGCAGGCTGTCCGTGTCACTGAAGGAAGGCATCCTGAAAGTAGAAAAGGGAATGTATTATTTTATAATTAACGTACACAGCGTTTGTTACACAAAAGCCGCTAATTACCAAAAATCCCGTCTATCACTGTATAACTTTTTTATCTTTATCCTTTATTAAGGTCAAGTATAATATATATTATAAATAAGCATTATAACTTTATAGCTTAACCTATGTCGATAACTATTGAACGCAGGCAACTACAATAAATCTTGATGAAAAATGTTCTTACTTGGTGTACTCTTCAAAGCAGCTAAACCTCCACAGTGCAAAGGCAAGCATGGCCATCGAAATGATGACTCCAGCGGCGATCACCAGCCATACAGTCAGTGTGGTTTGATCATCTGGATATGTAAATTCCTGCAAATGGTAATAAATTTATCAATTTCCTTCCTGATATGCAAGACCATTAGGTTTTTTGAGGTACATGTTGCGTTTATTATTTGCACCTTTAGGCCAAAGATTCTTGAATGCTGGGTAACTTTGAATTGGAAGCACAAAACCCGGACCTATCTGACCTCAAGGAACGTTTTAAATTGTCTACCATGTCTTACGTGTTATTAGAGTTTTAGGTAAAGATTACCGTAATGTAAATTAAGGATTTAGGTTTTTATATGAAACCTACCCGAATACCCATCCTCTCTAAACGCACAGCGAAGGGATCTATTCCCGAATAACTGTCCCACATCTCTCTGAGATCCTGCTTAGTGAACCTGGTCTCCAGAGTTTCATTGTCATACACCAAGGGAACAGAAAACATGATTTCAGTACAGAGATCGGATCCTGGCCAATTGTGAAAGCAGAGACCTCGGCTAAGGATCCGTGTTACTTCCAATCTGAAATACAAATAGAAGCAATTGTAGATTTATTTAAAGAAGCTAAAAGACATAAAATGCCTTCTATATTGAAATTGCTAAGCTTTGAAAAGTCCTTAAAATTATACAGAACAGGAAATTATTATACCTAATATTTACCATTATAATAATAAATAATTTAATGCATTATATATTTAAATATTAATTGCATATAAATTTGCCCAGTTGCCCTCCTTTACATTTAATTATGTTAAATTTTTATATCGTAATGCAACGAAGTGTAAAAGAAATAAATAAATAAAATAAATTCTTAAAGAATGTTCTTTAAATATTGAAACTTTCAACCTTGATATGTATTCTAGGTCAGAGGTCAAAATTGTATATTAAATATATTACGTGACCATGCATAATATTACATGCAGTTGTCGTAAATATAAGCTAGATAAGCAATGCGGTTTACGACAAACTTATTTCAAAAATAATATAATTTAGTTAATAATAAAACTCGGTTTAACTTTTAAGTGAAATTTAACGACTCATTTACAGATCTTTAAAGTATATGCCGTATGTTGCAAATTTTGAAAATGCTGAAACAATACTACATGAGCAGTTTCGAATGGATAAAAATGATTTGGTATATATGTATAGGACAAGTGGATGGTGAGGTTTGGCCTTACACAAGCCCATTATATTTTCTTAATCAATTCTTATAGTGAACAAAATATAAAAACCGCTTAGGTTACTAGGAGACAGGAGTAGCGCACCTACTACTTGTCTTTGGGAAAATCAATAATAAATATTATGAATCATCATGCTCATTGTAACTTCAAATAATACGCAGTACAATTGTACGCTCAATTCTAATCAACATAAAAGAGATACAAAGCAGTATATGTGTGTTATGTGTGTGTAGATATCGCAGCGCGCGATCCCCTAAGACGCCGTTTGGCCTCATTCCAAATGCTGATTGCCCTTTGCTGGAACATTGCAGGTGTATTGTTATTTTTAGATTATACTAGTTTCCGTCAGTAGGTTTTACATATACAGTAGTGAGCATCCCTTATAATTTCTTTAATAATAAAACAACTTAAACGACACTATTATTATTATTATTATTATTACATTCTTTAGCGATTACGATTATCTAAATATATTAAGAATGATTGGTTTCAAACAATTTATACTACGATACGTGACTGAGTTATTTTGTAATGCAGTTATATCTACCCATGACAAAGTAAAGTCTTTGTATTTACTTAGTAAGTTTATTTGAACGTGTAGTTGTCGTCCGATACATTGTGTAGGTGGACAAGATACAGTGGTATGCGCTAGTACATCATAGTAAGATGTTTAGCAGTTAGGGCAATTACCTCCTGCACTATAAATAGCTTTAATTAAACGCCCGGACTATTTCTAATTTCGCACTCCAGCACACTTAAGTGCATTTCAGGTCATTAGTTACTTAATGAACTTAGTTTGCTTGAATTCTTATTCAACATGTTACGTGGGAAACACTAGTTTATACTATAAGAAACAGATTAATAAATAGCGTGAAGGAAGTATTTATGACTGTTAAAAAACAACGAACGATTTAAAATTACTCTAATACAGTCTGATATGACATAAACATTAGTTAAAAATTAACATTTCGTTTATTTGCAAATTAATACATTAGTAACCCGTCAATATACGGTTATACTTTAAATTTAATATAACTGCCACATGATGTTCTATGTCAAACGCTTTTAATGAGTTTCAATTATAATGCTCTAAAAAAATATTAAAAACAAAAGTTAATAGACTAGAGAATACGTTGTGTACAAAGCTGTAAAACTAAAAATCTCACTTGTATATAATAATTATAATTATATAACTTGCTTTTGGGACCAAATAGTTCGATAGTACGTAACTAAATGGAAATGCAGTAACACAAATTGAAGTTTAATTCGAGTGCGTTCTGACTTCGAATGTGATAGAGCTTTGTCACGATTATCGATTTGTTCTTAATTCACGCTGAAATGGAACAACTGATTGTTGGGATTCAAAGATAATGCTGGCAAAGAAATGTTGGTAATAAAAATTAAGCAATAGTGTTAGCATTTAATATATAATATATGTTGCCCTACTTTGTAAAACAACCAACCGGAATATATTCCATGTGTTTTAATTTAAAAACTTTTACTTTTAAATATTTGCAACATTACAATTATATGTTTATAGTATTACTTACTCAAATGATTTAGCGAGACATGGATTGACTAAGTAAATAAAATATGATTAATTGTCAAAACTTACCGAAACTCAAAGAACTATTCTTCTTACACATTAAATCTTCTGAGACGGAATCGACTAGCTATCTTAGTGACATTGAATAATTCTTATTTAGGTGACATACAACCATTAGTATCTATAAATCAGGTATAATATATCCAGTCTTATTTTTATTTACAGCATTTTGTATTTGGATATGTTTTGTTTCACTCGTCCGGGTTTCTTGTACCAGAACTTCCATCTTCGCAAATGAAGAGTGAAGTTGGCTAACCCTCATACTAGTTTTTCTTCAGTAAACTTAACCGGCTTTGATACACTCTCTATATTATTAACACTATTAATTCTAATTATAGACTCATTATTATTACAATTACTATCATCGTTTATAGTTACTTTAGTTTCTACTTTCTGAGGTTTCGATACATTATTATTATCTATTTTAACTTTATCTTTACTATGCCTCTTTGTGTGATGTAAGTGATTCTCGGTATTGTTCATTTGAGGATAATGATGAAGAATAGCTGTTGTGTTAAACGTTATTTTACCATATTTCACATATTCTGTTGGTTTTTCTTTACTGGTGCTAGGTAAACTTAAATCTAAATCGTCTGAAGGAGTCCTTAATCTTATATTTTTAATAGGAGTTTGATCTTCTTCTATTATATCTTTGGTATCATCTATTAAATCTAGTGCGAGATTTTTGCTTCTTCGCAAATTTTCCATATATGCGTTATAACGATTCATATCTAACGTATTGTTTTGTTTTAATGGCAACGAGTTTGGCAATTTAACTGGAGGACGCTCCTCAGCCGAGTATCACAATTGTTTGGGTGCGTTTTGGGCTTTTCCGTTACTGAAAGATTTAGCCGCAGCGCCATCACGCGCGGCGCCCGGTAGCTATGTCTGGGACTGTACCATCGATATGCTGGTGGTCTCGGTGATGATAGTGGGCGCCGCAAACTCTTCGCTTGTGTAGTCGTATATCGGAAACTCACAACAAATTAGACATTTAAGGAACTTTGGCACTTCCACGTAAAACGACGGCGGTATCGGTATAAAAGGGGACGTAGACGACTTGTAATATAAATAATCTGGGTTATCTCTGTACTTTTCGTCCGCGGATCGTTCGAGGAGCGGTATTCCTGATAAGAATAAAATAATGGCGGTCGTGAACAGTGGTGATAATATTGCAATGAATTCGATACCTTCAATAATGTTGAGCGATATTATAAATATACCCCACCACAAAACCACTTCGCCGAAATAATTCGGGTGTCGAGACAAACCCCAAAGTCCATCGTTGCACCATTTTCCTTGATTGGCAGGTTCCTGCCTAAACGCGAATTTCTGTAAATCTGCATAGGTTTCAATCAACAATCCACAAACAAAAACCCCAGCTCCCGCTGAATCCAAAGTCGTCATAGTTTTTGGAGCTTTTGGATACGAATGATGTGAAGAATTTATGATAATAACTGGAAGACTGACTATGTACACCCAAACAGCTTGAAATGTATAGAAAACGGCAAACCTCAGTGTGTTACTCTTGCGATCTTCGAATTGTTTATCTCGCCCTATGTGGTAGATCCTGTATATAAGATACCCGGATAGTCTTACACCCCACAAACACACGAACGCCGTGACCATGAGTTGTCTGCTATCATAGCTTTTCAAAGTGTTGCCCCCTTGTCCCAGAAAGAAAGTCAATAAAGCGATGATGATAAAATTGGCTCCTCCTGTAAAATCTGTCACCTTATCACTCTGTGAGAGCGATGCGATGGTGAAGAATAAGACTTGCATCGCGACAGTAACCATAGCACTCACGGCGAAGTTATTCCTATCGATAAGAGGCTCCATTATAAATATTTGACACTACAAAGTTTTGGCATCAGGGAATACTGTGATCGATGTGGCGCATTGCCGCATTTTAACACTTATGTTAATATAGATAAGGTTCTTTAATCGCTTGATTAGTTACTTTCATGTTTTACCGTTTTTATAAATATAATTTATTGTTTTGTTTTTGGTTTATTTGCACGATTGGTGATTGAGTTAGGTTTTTGTAAGCGCGGTGCGATGTGCCGACCCGAATGGGAGCTGCCTACTAAAATAGTCGTGACGTTTCTGGCGCATGTGTAAACGGCGCGCATGCGCCTTGTTATGTTCCACGTAAACCGGGATTTCATGGACATTAGATTTACTTTGGTATGTTAATAATATTTCGAAAATATACGCAAACCAGCTTTCTATATTATAACCTAAGTAAAGAGATGACTAAAAACTCAAAGTAGAAGGTTGTTAATTCGATGCTCTTCCCGCATTGCACTTCCATCGTTAAACCGACCTTTACAACAATGATTTTAGAATCCGGTGAATGTTTTAATAATATTCATTAGTATCTCAAGAAGAATCTAAATATATATAATTATATCCCCCACCATGTCTCATCGTGTAAGTTCTTAACCCATATCACGGTATAATGTAGTGATATAAATAAAATTTGTGGCTTTTGCGATATTGAGAAAACGTTATCGTTCTGTAGAGCACTTAAAAGTAATAGCTATATCTTTTTTGGTTTACGCAAGTATTACACGCTAAAATAGTCTCTTTGGCTGACCATGATTTAATAAAAGTGCACTTAACTACACTAAAATAATGTAACACTATCGCATTTATTAACAATCAAGTTAAAGAAGTTTTTTCTATAAATTCTCTATAGTTCGTATTATATTTGCTTATAACTAGAATGTTGTTTTTAAAACTATTTAAGAAATTCAACTGTATTGCAATATACTTTAAACGCCTTGTTCAATAATTAATAATCTGATAAGCACAGAAGATACGCCGATAATATTATTTATTGAGGAATAATGCAAATTGTTATTTATGACTGATAAGGTACACAATGTTTCTTATATAAAGGTATTATTTGCTAGTTATACTTTGTGTAATTATCTTGAGACTTCTTTGTCATGTACCTGTATATATGTACTTACGTCGTGTTAAGTCCAGAGTCGATTCCTTTAGTGTTGATGTATAGTGTAGCCATATCGGCAATAATTCTTCTAAAGTCCTCTTCTTTTGAGATAAAACCGTTCATGCTGACTCCTCCAAGATTCACAGTGATAGTCGCGTTAGATGTGAAGTAGATTTTGTCTTCTTCAGGGTCCGGAAGTTTTACTATGTCTGGTCGAGACACTAAAAAATAATTAGATTAAGCTTACATTCAATTCAAAAATAAATAAATAATTTTAGGTATTATGATGATTGGTATTGCAGGAGAAGTTGTGAGCGACAGGAGGCAAACGGGGTAGATGTCAAGTGATACCGCCGTTTATGGACGATGACACTTCCTGAAGGCCTTTGAGTGCGGTGCCTTTCATTTGTTAAATAAAAAATATGAGGAAGAGTAACTTAGTTTTTACTACATTATGTTGAGCTTATTAATAAACCGAAGTGAAGCTATAGAATAATTTCATATTGTCTAGCTTAAAAGGTCTAAAGGGTTTTTTTTTGCTGGACGAGATTGATTTTCAAGGAAAACAGCAATTTACTTACTAATATTCCGGAGACTTATATTGAAACCCCGTTGAAACTGCATCCCGGCTTTTGCTTCGAAACGTATAAACATCCTGTCTACGTCAGTGAACTGGAAACGACGTTCCTTTCGTAACGAGTAACTAATCAGGATGCCGTCGGAACCTTTTTCTTCAGTTTCACCTGTAATCGATCGAGCTCACTGTACCGTTGACAATAATATATATTTCATGTAATAAGATGATATTGTGTATTTGTTATTATAAAATGTTGAATTTCTACCAAAAACCACTAACCTGGTATAATAAGTACATAGTCTCCTACAAAGCTGTTAACAGCAAAATCAGTTATGTTCATTTCTATCCCTTGTCCTTCTCCTGTGATCACGTAATCAGTGATTTGGTTGGTTGGGTAGAGGTTTGGGTAATTCGGAGAAGACACTATTGTATTATCCTTGACAGTTAAATGTATTTGAACCGTGTTCGTGGCTTCCGAATGAGCTGCGCGTTCAGCTTGATACTTTTCATTAAATTTATTTTGGTCATCGGAATCTAGTTCATTAAATTCTGGCATTTCAGATTTATTTTCTTTAAAATTTGGGACTTTAGTAGGGTCAACTGATTGAGTAGTTATTGGTTCTGTTTCAGCATATGAAATTGTTGCTGCATTAAGCTGAGTGGATAAAGAAGAATCTACATTTCTCGTGTCAGTTATTTCTCTCTCAGTAACTTCGGAGGTTGTAGTTTCAGGTGGTGTAGAATCAAGGGCAGATAAAGCATCATTTGAGTAATAAATTTGTTTATCTTGTTGACCTTCTGGATAATCATCTCTTGATGGTTCATCGTCATATAACTTTTCCTCTGTTTCTTCAGAAAATATTCTGTCTAAATCGTCATCACCTATTTCTTGATAGTCCTGGTCATCGGCTTTTTCTTCACTTAAATCATTTCCCAAGTTAGTGTCTGCATTCAACTCTGTATCAAAATCTTCTCTTAGATTACTTCGAATGGCATCCAACTCAGATAAATCATTTTTGAAATCATCAAAAGATTTGTTTGTTGTATTTGGTAATGTTTTTGTTGTCTCTGAATCTTGTTTTGTTGGCTTTATATTTTCATCAAAATTATTATCAGTTTCTTCTAACAACTTGGTTGTTTCCGCAACTATGTTTTCTATATTACCTTTTGGATTCTCTAATTGAATATCTGCAATATTATTATCACTATCTTCCTTTAAAATAGATTTAGTTTCTTCTAAAATATCTTTATTTGATGTTTCTTGTTTAGTATTATCCAGATAATTTTTTATAACATCTTCAAATCCATCGTTATACAATTGATCTTTTTCATTTGTTGATTTAATTTGTTCTTTATTTAGTGGTTCGGCTAAATCATTAAATGGTTCTGAATATTTAGACGGTAATTTCATATTTTTATCTACATCTTTCATATCTTCTTCTGATCTATTATCTTCAATTTGATAATCTCCAATGCTATCATACTGTCCCTCATTATCAAATTCATTGTTATTTTTAAAGAGTTTTACGTCATTAAAAATGCCTTCATCCTCATCTAAGGGTTTGACTTTATGTATGGTAGGTTTTTCTGGTTCTTGGTCAATAAAAGGAATCTCTTTGCTTTCATCACCATAATAATCGCCGTAATCGTAGTCCTCCGCACTGAGAACTAAAAACTTTAATTAGAAAAAAATTCATATACATATAATTTTAAACAGTTTTTGAAGTTATACTTCTTTAGGCGCGTTATGAAAAATTTATGAGAGTGAAATTTTACGTCGCGCGCGCACCTGAGACACAAAGTTGTCAGTGTGATTGTAGCGTGCGCGAGCGAGATGGGAATAAGACAATCTACAAGTAAAAAGAAATAGAATATGCGTGAAGTTAGCAGCTATGCCAAGAATTTTGAATGAACATGACATTTACCTTTTAAACAAATAAAGGAGTTTTAATTATTTTTTCAAAGAAATTTAGCAATGATTTTTCACAAAGACCTATTGTTACTTAGTTAAAAGGTTATGAAACATACGTAGTTATTAAATTGAATGAATAATATAGTAAAATAATTATTATTATTAATATTAATTAATAATTGAATAATATACTAAATATTATTAAATTAGTAACGTTAAATATTTGTTATTAATTATTTAATATTTTAAAAAAATTAAGAAAGCCAAAGAAGTATAACTTCTTACGTGCGTACATAAGTACACGCACCCTTTTTTTTTAATACAGCAGGTTCTAATAATTACTATATAATTTGCAGTGAATTTATTAGTATTATTTTATCTAGCGAGTTGAAATAATTTACGACACCACTTTCTTAATAAAAATCATCTCGGGTATCCGTTCACCGGTTTAAGCGCGACAGAGTAACAAATAAAAAACTATTTGTGGGAATTAAAACGCGAGCGTTAAAAGACTAAAACACAAAATCAGAACATTTAAAACATGCCAGTTAAATTCCGACTTTATAACAAAGTCTTAAATGAAGGCCACATGTTTCTGACTGTCATTATAATCTATAATTTACATTTGACGTCGATCATAAAAATAGCTGATCACGTCAATAAAACAATTTATTATTTTCAGTTTGATTACGTTTTATGTGTTGGAAAAAAACATTGGGTTGCGTTACTAAATTAATAATAGAAATAATTCATTAATTTATATATATTAATCTATTCTTCTTTCGAAAGGAATATTTATAAGTATCCTAATATAAAAACTAAACTTATTTAAAACTTACGGACTAGTATGAAGTTATATAGAGCAATTATAATGAACGATTAACCTATTTAAATGTAACATCAAAGTGATTGCAGTGAACGGCGGGCGATCAGCAGGTGCCAAAAAGTAACTGACACGTTCCGCACTGCAGATACAGACATACGTGTATTCATATAACTATATCATACACCTTAAATTAAATTTTGTTATTTTTTTCATATTACAGTTACACTTTGTAATATCATATGTTATCAATAGACGAAGAAAGTTTTCGGTTACTTTTTCTACCAATTCCGTCGTAAATAGTTTTAATTCGAAATTTGAAATTAAATATAGATTTATTATTAAAGAATAATATTCATAATAATTAAAACGCTTAAAATTGAGCTTTCAAACGTAATTCAAACTATCCAACGAATGAAACACGGTTTCAAAGTAGAAGACTTTCTAGAATGAATCATATTTATTGAAAAGATTATATCTAACTGCTGATATTACGGTTCGACAAAGCGCTCATGTTAATAACAGTTTCCATAACCAAAGGAATTTATCAGGCAGGTTTGAATAAAATGTATTATTTAATATAGTTGATGTTATAAAAATAAAAATATATGTATTTAAATATGCAAAATTTACAACAACACATTTCCATTTATTTCAACAATGTGTGATTACCACCGCAAAGTTAATTAAATGGTTAATTAGAGTTAGTTTTATGCTTTAATATTTCTAAGATTCATACATTTATTCCGTATTCTCCTTATTATTGAAATGAACGCTAACGATTACAGTGCATGATTTAAATATATGTGGTTTATAATAACAAATATACTAGAGATTCATTAAGTTATCCCTATAATATAAAAACTTAGAGAATCATTTAATTTATTTCGTCAAGCATAGCGACGTCAATTTTGAATATTACGTTTACATAAATTGTTCTGAAAGTAGGTTTTTATTTATTTGCGTCTTAATTTAGTAGTAATAAACCGAATAACATAATGGTAAATAGATTACAAAGATAACCTAAAAAATAGTGGTTTTTGTGTAATGTCCATCTGATAAGGTTGTTAAGCATTAGAATTAAACAGTATTATTTCCAATACACAAATATAGAGTATTTACAATATTCGTAATGAATTATTCCATTGATTGAATTTTACAATATTTTTTGCTCTCGTATTATGCACGTGACATTTCATTTGAAAATCTTGTGTTAATTATCTTTACTCTACAATTCAACATTAGAAAATAAATTAGATAAAATTGAGCAATGTCTAATAAGCCTAAGTCCTGCTTTAAGTTGTAAATGGCGAGCCGAACGTGGAATTGGGAATTTAAATTAAACCCAGACAAATGTTGAGTCAGTTCAAAATGTTCAGTTATCTTAAATACGAAATAGTAATCAACGGGAAGACCACAACTTAGTTGTCGATGTATTCTTATAGTGACTCACCCAACTAGTCATGATTTTTGGACAACATTTGTCAATAGGTAATACATATTATAATGTCATTTTACAACTTTATTAACAGTAACAGCAAATCTACCGCTTGGGGCTTCAGTTACCTTTGTTTGTTTCGTGTACGTTATACTTCAACTATTTGATAATTTCTGTCTAACTGAATAGATAGAAATGTGTTTATTCTTTATAAGTACATACAGGTGATTATTGTGTTAGTCATATTTTGGTTTAGTTACGAAGATTAATTAATAAAACAAAAATAATTAACTTTTGCAATTTATTCAACATTTCAATTATTATTTGAATGATATCATTTCTTATCAATTTCACTTATATGTTCCCTAAGTACTTCTTCCACGAACCGTGACTGTGATGAACTGATAATACCGTTTTATCGGATTAAAACACGGGTAAATATTTCCGTATCGAAAATAAGTATGTTAAATGTTTCTATTTATCATTTGAATGAATCCATTTGTCAAATAATAAAATAAATAATATATGTAGGTACAGACCAATGCAAATCAGTTGCCAAATAAAGCGCTTTAAATAGCCTTAATTAACTTATTTTTATACGTACAACTGCATACTATTAAAATTGGGTACGAACCAGACACGGCGTTTAGGCTCAATCCAAATAAACACAGATAAACAAGCAACTTCAACATAATTGCATGCGCACGATTGCTTGCGCTGGCATCACAATAGAAACTGAAGTTGTCAGTTGTCACTGCTTCAATGACATTAGCAATAGTTATTACGTGTCAAACACACTGGTTGAATAATGAGGCCCGGCTTTGATGAGTCTGTGATTTCTGACTGGTCGGTGAAAGTTTCACAATTAAAATATTATATATCCTTGCACTTACAAAATATATATCTTATATTGGTCACACTAATCAGTCACGTAAAGACATATAGATAATATATTATAATAATTAGCTATTATTTAATGCTTACATTATATTCCAGAAGTGTAGCATATTGTTTTTTATTTAATTAGGAAACACAAAACAGATACATCTCTATAAAATAAAAAATATAAATGAAATATAAAATTAACACATTGGATATAGATATCTACGAAAAGTTTCACTGATAAAAAATAAGATACAAAGCAAATAAAAACAAAACATGCTACACATCTGCGTAGCTTAGGGATTATCGCACATGACATAATATAACCAAATGAAGTGAGTTCGATTCTCAACAAAGCAATAATTATTTCATGTTGATTGCTAATAAAAAATATAATTACGGACTTCGTCGTGTGTGACAAGCATAGCGTAACACCAAATACAATTAAAGTGATTATTTTAATTGTTTTTGGTAACACTTTGTATATAGTCTGTGACATTAACATAGAAACATCTATTTATACTCAACCTCCATCCCACTCACTTATTTATATTGACACTATTATACTAGGTATATAAATTTAGTTTTGAAAATAGTTTTGCATAAAAGATAGCACCGATTGATAACCTGGTGTTATCTTGAAATTGATGACGTCTTTCTGTCACCTTTCTTTGTTACTTTCCTTATTGTTACTGATTTTTTATTATTTAGTAGTAAATTATGCATACTTAGTTGCTTTTATAAAATTTCTTTTGTATTATACGTACATTATAAATGCGGAAAAAACGTGAACGGTTTTGTAAAATCCCCACGTTTTTAGCTTGTATTACCTTAAAAATATAAATTGCCATGAAAGAGTGTACACTGTACAGTCCGTTATATATAATTATAATATAAAGATTTTGTTAAAGTTATTTCTGGTTGCTTTAATTTAAATTAATCGCTTTTGTTAGGTAGCTGCTGAATATATACTACAGTAATTCAGTTTTACTTAGTTATGAAAGAAGTGTTATTTCTGGAAGTACTGTTAATGTATCTTTGAAAGGAACACGGGAGTTTTCCGAGCGAAGAATCAGAACTCCAACTTTTTAAGTATCAACATTCATACAAATAAATTTATTTCATTTGATTTACAATTAACTAAGACATTTTAACATGTTCTTGCTGCCATCTTTTATAAAGCACAGATATGTTTGATGTATGATAAAATTCAATGGTTTACATTATTGGTACTAGATGGCGCAGATATCTACGTGTAATAATATATGAATAAAAGAAACAAGTAGTTACTAGAAATACCATTAGATGTCCCACACTGACTAAAGAATATTTTATCGGAGAACATTCAGAATTCGGAATAAATCATTTTCATGAAATTAAGACATAAGGATGTCAATCAATAACCATACAATACCTACTTGAAAGTAATAGAAATCAATACCACAAACTTCGGCCGCCAAAATTGGCGACATTGCAGATTACCCTTGACGAGAGGTGAGACCTTGTCGATCAAGGATTTGTCCTTGCCACAAGGCCGTAGCCTCCAAGCGAGGCCAATCTTGGCCGGCCTGGCCAACCTTGGCTGAGGACGAGGGCACTCGGGAACCTTGGGCCCAAGGTTGGCTATTGGCGGACTTGCGAAGGTCAAAAACGCGTAATTCTTACTGATAATTATAAGCATTACGTATCACATACGTAGTTTTGCTTTGAGTTTCATTTGTCATCGGGTATTAATAGTTATGAAATGAACATAGAGATTGAAGTTGTAACATTGTTAAATCAAATTGAATAAATCCATTTATTGATCTCGCTATAATAGTAGTTTGGATGCTGAAGCTGATATAAAACACAAAAAATGTATCGCCATGAACGTCATTTGTGTAAAACCGTCCTGGGAACATGGGACAACTTACATACAATGCATTCGCAACGTGAAGCCAAAGCAAATAAAATAAATAAATAATGTATCTACTAATAAGTTTAAAAATGTATAAGAATAGTATTAAGTATAATAAAACATGCCCTCTCACAACATTGCTGTGCCTAACCAAGGTCCTTATTGTAACAAAAGTATAACATGTCACCTGTAAAGTACGAACATAAGGAATGCAATAAAGATTTGACATGTGAAACTTTTAAAGTTGCGGAAGATACGCCAATGGACATCGGATTTGATTGGAAAGAAAGGCGTATGTTATATTTAAATATTGTATCGAAAGATTATCCGCACAAATTATAGGCATAATAGAAAAACATTCTTATTTAATATGTTCGAAAGACCTCTGTCAATAAATTGTAATCTATTTAGAAATAATCCTAATATAAAGTTACCATTTAACAAAAGTTTATGCTAATTTAATTACACTTTAATTTAGCTCATATACATTGAAAAACAATTATAATCTACACATATCATCACTTTTTATTTTATAAATAAATTAAACATAACATTATTACTTTCTTAATACAAAACATACTTAAAAATAAATTACAACCTTAGTTTTAAATAAAAATATAATACTTTTATCATTTTCACGTTATTATTATAATAATGTACTCTATATTAATATTAACTAGTAACAAAAGCAGTGATTACAAAATGAAATGTCATTAAATATATATAAATTACGTTATTATTAACATTATTAAAATACTTAGTAATTTATATAATCTTTTTTAAACTTTATATGTCACTATCTTATGATCATTATACTTTCTGAACTGCTTCTAAGTCAGTTCAACCAATAGTAATAATATAATATTTAAAAAACTTCTTTCCGGAAATCGAATCCGAACTGATCGCATTTGATCCTCAGCGCACGGGCGAGAAGCGGCGGTCCGCAGTAGAAGACTGTTACCTTGCCCTTGCCCTGCTCCTGCAAGCGCTGGAACACTTTGTCCCAGTTGGGCCGGCCCGCGTTAGTTCGCGTCTTTAGACCTGTTATTAGGTCACGTTTCTCCTGAAAAGTTGTAAACTAAATAATTATACTGTTCTGATTAAGACGTTGATCGCTCTTTTAATTTTTTTGTGTGAAAGTTATACTCTTTGAGGTATAAAATTAAGGATTTAAAAATTTGGATAATCAATATACGACATCCTTTGCAAATAAACGATTTATTTATTATATTTAAAAGATCAAATAAAATGTTGAACCAATAAAATCGATTAAATCGTCTCCAAACTGTATATAGAAATTGATTCCTCACCTTCTCATGTAACAGATCCAACGCCAGTTGCAGTCCAACAGCCTTCATGTCACTTCGCTGCAACGCACTGGTAATATACATGTGCATCTCCAAAAACCTCTCGGCATCACCCGCTTCGGCCTGCTCTATCTCCAGCTGAGACAAAAGGGAGACGAACCACTCGAATGACCGCTGTTCACGATTTATCCAGAAGAAATCAACCTGTAATTGAGAGGTGACTAAAACACGTTAACATGTACCAGTTTTTTAAACTTTTGCTAAATATGCGTACAGTAAATATTATTTCCTTCACAAAACTGGTGTTTGATTTTCTTATGAAAATAAAGTAAGATTGTGATTGAAAAAAACATGTTCTTTCTACTTGTGTATTTGACCCCCTCAATGGGGCATACGGCAGATAGCCAGGCAACTTGTTCATGTGATTGGAATTTTGAATGTGCTGTCTGTAACATCGTTGGGAGTTGAATCCGGGACTTCCACCATGTTCGTTAACCACTAAGCCATTGCGAATATACTATACACACAGTATAGTGAAATTACTAAAGCCGCATAAATTATGAATGCAATAACTCTATTTCAAGTTTACCTTTCTAAGGGTCATATCAGTCCTTGGTCTACAGGGCCATGTATGGCTACAGTTTGGACAAGTAACTCTCGCGTGTCGGTATTTGTACATGATAGCTTGTAAGATTGACGCGAAAGGCGTCACTCCGATACCAGCTGCTATTAACACGGCATGCTGAGCTCGAAAGATGTGGGAGGATGCTGCACCGTATGGACCGTCTAAGTAAATCTGTAAATGTTATCGACAAGAGGTGATTATGGCAATGGAATTAAAGGTAAACCGAGCCTTTTATGGGCTCTGACTTTCAATCAAGGCAAGTATTATTAAAAATTTACAATTATTTTACATAATTTTAAGTTTAACCGACATTTCTGACGTTTTGTTTTTTTGACGATAATTGTAAATTTATAATATTACATAACTTCAATCCGGTTAAAAAGTGTTTTCTTGAAATGTGTAAAGGTTATGTCAACAAAAGACAATAAAGTAAAAGTTAAAGTTCATGATAAATGCGCACATAGAAATTAAATGGCGTTTCACAATCACTGCTCTTATGTCAAGTGTAAGTTGTTGCTTAAAGTAAAAACATAATATTATAAAAATATATTAAATTTTAACGCCCGTCAAATATATATAGCAAAAGTTACTCACGCAATAATGAATAATTTTGTTGGATACCATTTCTTGTTTTAAGGCCGATGAACACAGTTACATGAAATTGAATTTGAACTTTTAGTAACAGTTAATATAACACATCCAATGGTGTACTAATTTTGTAATGCATTAGATAGTTTCTCGTTAATTCTTAATTACTTTAAAATACTCATTTTTTAATCTAAAACAGTTAAGTTTATGTAACAGGTACCACGCACCTCGAGTGGTTTCCCAGAAGGGTAGTCCTCGCAGCCAGAGTCAGGACTCTCCTCTTGTATAACAGGAGCTTCCTTTTCTACATCTCGCTCGGGAGAACGGCTCTTTGAGAATCTACGACGAGCTGAAAAAACAAGTTTCAGTCTTGAAGAACGTTTAACAAGTTGT